GATCTTTTAGTTCTGGGAAGAATTCCTGTTAACTAATTCAAAGGGGAGGATTGGGGAGGAAATTATTTTTTTAATTAATTTTTATTGATAACTTTTGGTTTTTTATCACCTTCATTTTCCAATATATCTGTCCCTCTTCCCCATCTTGGGAGATAGTCCTTTTTAACAAAGAATAAAAATGGAAGAGAAAAAAAATAGCAGTTTGGCAAAACTAATCAATACAGCTGAAAGTGTCTCCCATCCAAAATTGCCATCCCATCCTAATCCCTTAGCAAAGAAGAAAAGGAAGGATATTCTCTATACTTTTTCCTTTTGGTAATTTTCTTAAACATGGGCAGCATAATGTCAGGAAAACCTGATCAGGTTCAAATTCTGCTTCAGATTCTCATAGACATGTGAACCTGGGCAAGTTACTTAATCTCTCTTAGACTCCACATCTGTAAAATGGGAATAATAATAGCACCTACTTCATAGGATTTTTGTAAGGATCAAATCAAATGAGATAATATGTATAAAGCACTTCATAAATTGTAAAGTGTTATATGGATTAGCTATTATTGTTATTAGTAATAATCTTAAAATTTAATACTGAGGAAGGGGGTAGCATGTCGCACAAGGGTATAGATTGGACAAGCTGACCCTTGGTGTCCAGTCTTTCCTACTCAGAGATTCTCTGATTTTGAATTTACTAATATTTTCTGGTAGTCATTGAAAAAGAGGCTAGATGGTGTAATGAAATGAGAAGTGGACTGGTAATCTGGAGATCTGCATCCTAGTTTTGGCTTAAAACCACGGAATCTGAGAGTTGGGAGGAACATTAGCCCTCAAGTACAACCCACACATGAAAGGAATTTCCATAATGCCATACCTGATAAGTGGCTGTCCACTCTGTGCCTGAAGACCTCTAAGGAGAATGAACCCATCACTTGCCGCTTACTAGCTGTGACTTTAGGCAAGTCACTTAACCCCTGTGGTACTCAGTTTCCTTATTTAGAAATTGAGGGGTTAGAAGATTAGATGACTGCTTAAGGTCCCATCCAAATGCTACTAATTTCTGAGTCTATTCTAGGAATATAAGGGAAAGAGAAGTATACAAAAAATATTGGTCTTCTGGGAGAGGATCCTGATTCAACCAAGCCTTCAAAAAAAAATGTGCTCAACTCTTCCTCTCGAAGGAAGAAAATTGGCAGGTAACAGCACCCATGGGGGCTGGAGTCTTCATTATAAAAACAGAAACCTCAGTTTCCTTTGGTTTAAAGACTGATAGCAGAGTGTGCCTAGAAGAGGATCTCTCTTTTTGTAATCCTATGTGGACACAAAGTTCAACAGGTTAAGTTGGCTGCTAAGGTAATTTCCAACTTTTCAATTCTGATTTTGTGAAATAAACTTAAAATCCTTGCAAGTGTAACAGCATCCTACTGGAAGGATCCCTACAGGACATGTAGTGCAATCCCCACATTATACAAATGAGGAAACTGAGGGCCAGGCAAATTATGTGACTCACCCAAAGTCACATATAGGAAAACCCAAAACTCAGAATGGAAAAAAGCAAAAATAGCTACATCTTGTAGCTCCGTCTGACTAGCTGTTGTTCCTAATCACTGAAGCTGGTTTGCACCGTTCCTGACCTGAGAAAGAAGGAAACCCTAAAGAGGATTTGTCGAACACTCCAGACACGGAAAAAAAGGAAAAGGGTTGTTCAGTTCAGAGAGGATTAACCTAAGAGGTGTTAGGATGTTTTCCCTAAAAAACTAACGTGGCAATTCTGCCAGCTCATACTCTCTTCCCTTCCCCCTAAGCACAAGATAGTAGTAGAAGTATATAGACAATGGACTAGAGACCTTTCTTCCATCATTTTATTCCTCCAGTGTAAGTGCTATGAGGCAATAATTCACTCTGCAGAGCCAAAATGACTGAAAGGATGGAAGAAAGGAGGCTCCAAATGAGGTATACATTGGGAGAGGCATAGTGGAAAAAGTCACGAGTTTGGAATCCCAGGATCTGAGTCTGAGTCTTTATTGCCCTATTGGGAGAGTCACTTTACTTCTCTGGGCCTGTTTCCTCCTCTATAAAAGGGGGGTAAGAGTGATTAGATGATGACCGTCCTTCCAGTTCTAAATCCCATGAGTGTAGCAAACGTACACTCCATACTGATTCAACAATGAACATCTCCCTTTCTCCCTTCTTTTACCCTGCATCCCTGAATAGTTCCTACTTATGTTGCAGAGGTCTTGGCATTTTTCCATTCCAAGTTTTGTATTTCCCAACATTCTTAAACTATGAAGGTGTTAAAGGTGTTTGAACAGCACAAGCCAACAGCCTAAGAGCTTTCACTCTAGCATAACCCCTTTCTCTCCTGTGGATCCCCACCCCCCAGTCAACCACTGGGAGAGTGATGGGTACACCACCTTCAGAAGGCCTATGTGGATAAGCAGAGGCCTCGAAGACAATCTTCGTTCCAGCTCACAAGTCTTTGACACTCCAATGCTCTGGATATGCCAAAGGCTTCATGAACTAATTTCTAAAGGACTCAAACTGCTATTTAGCATAATTTTTTTTATTTGAAAAGTCTCAAAAATAGGTAGGTCCTGTGATAAGAATGAAAGTACTCTGCAAACTCACACTTCCAAAGCATGGCTTAAGGTTTTGAGATTATTCCACGTGGTAGTTACATCTCAAAAGTTCCATAGTGTACACACACACACACACACACGCATACACACATGCACACAGAATGGACATATCAGCACAGCCAGCTGTCTCCAGTATTTCTTCCACAGGGAGTGTGGATTTTCAGAATGCAGACGTGTTCAACTTAACTTTAATTTTTAAGGAGGAAAAGTGGATGAAATGAGACTCAGGAGGAGAGAAAAGCTGAAATAGGCTCAGGTGTGTGAGAGCTACATGAAATCGATTTTGCTCTAGCTCACCCACTGAAAAGGGCTTTGGCTCCCCCAAGCCCCCCCCGCCCCCCAACAATCACACTTGAAAGAAACCAGGTCTTTGGGAAAGGAAAGCCAGGTTTGTGCTCCATACTCTTCCTCAGCATGTGGTTGGGGGTGGTGGGGGTTGGGGCAAAGGATGACAAGTATCAGTACTTCATACAACTAGATTTAATAAGTTGTTGTTACAGAAAAAATGAAGTCCAAACTACAAAGTTTAAGCAGCTGTAAGCATTGGCAGACTTGAGCTCCATGTTTCAGTCACAGTACTGCAGTTCCACATAAGCATTAGTCCGAGCCCGAAAGGCGAAAGCTTAGTAAGGGTTACTAGCAAAAAACAATCTAAGAGAACAGGTAATAAAAGATACGATACATTGAAAATAGTTGTTAGTTGGAAAACAAGTACAGAGATCTTAGCTGAGAACACTCTAAAAGTTAATGTCCATTGTTTTGACAGCAAAAGTACAAACACCTAATACTTTATACCCCAATAGAACCAAGTCCAGAAAAACAAAATAGCCGAAGTGAATCCCATATCAGCAGCCAAGCTTGATACTTGGTGGCTAAGAACTCTTTTTATATAATTTTAAATGTCCCAAGAATCACACATCCACTTCCTGACCTGTTACCCATTTGGGGTATAGAGTACGTCATCAGCAGTGATCATAAAATACTCTGTGGTAAGATGTGGTTGAGTGGCTGAGATAGAGAAGAGGTTTGGTTTAAAAAAAGGAAAGGGGTTAGTCAGACATTTCGTACAAACTAGAGTAAGAAGCAACAGTTGTACATATAAACCAGTTCTAACAGAAGAGACATTTATACTCGTCTGTGACTAATCTTTCACTCAGACCTTGCAAGAGGAGATGTCACAACACTCAGAAGGTTAACATAGGAGCTTTTCCCATTTAAAAAGCCAGGTTGTTGCTAATCTAATAGATAAAAGGAAATTAGCAAAGTTATTTGCTAATTGCATAAATGTACTACATCTTGCTTTAGCCCATGCCTCACTAACAAGCTAAAAAACACAAGATATAGGCAGAAATCTAAGCATAGTCTTCGTAAGCACTAAGCGAGAAATTCCCAGTTTCCCCTCTTCTGTCCCTAACCATCACTTATTGGTAATTAATGTAAAATTCCAACCTGGATTACCTAATTGGAGTCAAAATTTTACATTACAACTTGATCTAATCTATATATTATTTACAAAACTGAATACATAGGGCACACACAATAGCCCACTCTGGACATGGATTTCTCCGAGTTACTTCTCGACTCCACTGCTAGCGCATTGTAGGAGGCCATCCAGGACAGATAGAAATAACTCATCTATCTAGAGCAAGTCATTGTATGTTCAGTTTACTCAACACCAGTTTTCTAGTTTAAATAATATTTTTTTTTCTGTCCAAATTTTAGATCCCAGACCTAAGAACTCCTGCTTTTAGCAGCAGAGTTTCAAAGGAAAGAGGGTCAATATTGGGGGGTTAGGGGTGGATGGGACAGGAAAGATAGGGAGAGTCCCTGAAGTGAGGAAAACTCATCATGCGTGGACAAATGGGACAAATTATTTATGTGGAGGAGAAGGGCTAAGATAACAAGATGGGAAAGCAGGGAGAACCTGAAATGGTTCAGAGACAGTGGTGCCATGAGACTGTTGTTAGCGCCATCAGCGAGAAGACGGGCATTCGGCTAGGAAACCTGAATCACCCCGAAATCGAAGTGAATCCAGCCACTTCCTCCTCTGGATTGTGGAGGCTGTCACCACTGGAAGCTTACGTACAAGATCTGGCTTTAGGGAAAGCATTCACCCAGCTGGCGGCCGAGAACCACGGGGTCAGGCGGGCCAAGCTAGGAGAGCCCTGGCTCAGGAGGAGGTAGGGGGGAGAGTGAGATAGGCTGAGGCGGGGTGGGAGGGGGGCTGCCGTGGGCTCCTGCCACAGGATCGAGCTGGACTGGTGTTGGATAAAGCGACTGTGACCTCCTTGTGAACTGTACTGCGACCTCCCGAGTCTCGCCCTAAACCGTTTGAATAAAGGAAAAGGCTTTTCAAAATACCACACATTCGGCTCCATTCTCTTTATTGCCCAATTGTTCATTACATTTCCAGTTGCTTTACATAACCAGCCATTAATTCATTGTCACCTACTGTAAACCACTTCAGCAAGTTAATACAGAAAGCTTTGCATTTCAAAAAACTAGACACTTTAGTAACAATATTACAAAGGTTTTAGCTTCAAAAATAACCGAAAATGAAAAAAATAAACCTTTAAGGAATTAGCATCATAAAATTAATTTATTCCAAGTAAAAATACAAAATAATATTATGACATTGACCAGATATGAAAGTCCCTCCCGAAACAACTCTATTAATGATTGAGAAAGCACTCTTTAAAGAAAATACGAAATAAAATGAAAAATATGTAAATATGTTTAATTTTTTTCTTAGCAAAAAATCTTTCTAAAAATAACAATGAAAATTTTTGTCTCAGTACAAAGGCTACATTACTATTGAAAAAATACCAGCATGAAGAAAAGGTACATATTTGACAGTAGAAAAATGATTTCAGTGAATCACAATGTCTAAAGTTTGCAATGAAAATAAATCTGCAATAAAGATTTATGCCTTTTTTCTTTTCTTTTTTTTCTATTTTTTATACAAACAGTACAAACAGTATTGCACATAACAACAAATAGTCGAGGTTAGGTTATAGCCTTCAAAAAAACAAGTTCAAGTCTCACCCCAAGGAATGGCCACGGGAGGCCTGGAGGACCAGGCGCTTCTCAGGCAGGTTACAGACAGTTCAAAACACCTTTTGTGGATTTTTTTTAAAAAATAATATTTTTTTTGAAGGACCCTCTCTTTTAATAGAACATTAACAACTGGGGGGGAGGGGCACACTTATTTACAAACAAAAGGGAACATGTTATAATTTAATAAACTAAAAAAGTTCTCTTTAAAAAAATACAAACAGAAGAACTCTTTCACAATTCTGGTCAGTCGTGCATAATCAACGCTTGATTAGAAATATACAAATTAAGGGAAAATATTTTTCACCGTCTATTCACAGCTCTCAGCACCAAATGGAGTTTGTTTTCAACCTATTCTCCATGGCAATGTTGGACTCAACTCTATGCTGTACGTCTTCCAGCTTTCTCTCTGGCGGGGTGATTTTAGTATGCGAAAGAGGGGTATGTCTTCAAAAAGTTTTGCTCCTTCCACACAACTAGGTAGGTTTCTGTAGGTTAGACAGGATCTTTAATATTATAGGTATAAAGCTCTAACTTCTTCATTTTCAAAAAAACCGCAAATAAGCATGAAAAAAATAAAGTTACCCATCTGTTAAATCATTTTTTCTTGCAGAATTAAATTAATATATATTTTTTCTGAATAAACTTACTTAGAAAATATCATTTTCTTTCCTATATTTCAAAATTGAGGTATTGCAAAGGATCACGTCAGCCAGAAAGCATGCCTTTTTCCTTAAAAAGAAAAAAAATCACCAGCCAACTGTTGGAAACTGTCTAGATACCAAAGGTAGTAAGTAGTGCATAACAAAAGGTCTCACAGATAAAAACAAAACCAAACCAAAAGAAGATATAGAAAAAAAGCACGCGCGCGCACACACACACACACACACACAAAACATACGCACACAGCCACCTGGGTCACAAAGAGCAAAATTGCTCCAAGGCCCAGAAGTAGCTTACACTCAAAAGGGAGAACTATAAGAAGCGTTTGAAACTAATTAAAAAAAACAAAAACACTAACTTTTTTTTTCCTTTTAGAAAACAAACCATAACACGTAAACCAATAATCACAACTGAATGTGGAGAAAAAAAGCAATAACACGAAACCAAATCACAACAAACTTAAGACAGAACAATGACATCACAGTGGCACACGCAAGAACACAAGCAAGAAAAGTCTATTCTGCAGTGTCGTAGGCCGGTCAGATTGTCCCCAGAATTGCAACACAGAGAAGGAAGAAGAGAAAACAAAGTTTACAGATTTTCACAATCATCAGTACACTATGTGTGTCTAGATATGGCTATCTGCAGCCCAGCAGTGCATGCTAAAAAAATGTCCCACTGGGTTAGCAGGTCTGAATTGGATTCAAGCTTTGCAGGATCTGTTCAGGGAAGTAAGAAGTGAATTTCACAGCCAGAAACCCCTCTCCTCCAATGCCACCTTCCCTTGTGCAGACATTTCTTTAGCATCACCTTTTCCCCAACTTTCTGAAAATGTGCCGTTTGTCAATCTGACAATTTAGCTCTATAGATTGTGTATATATATATATTCCTAGTGTATGTAAGCTAATATGAGCTCTTTGGTTTTTCTGGACAAGGTCTGAAGCTATGTAAAATGGTACAAGCATTAGGAGATTGTAACGAAGAGCTCATGTTTTCATTAATATACCAGTTATGAACTGTCCAATTTGTTAATGTCTGACACAGTTAAGGTTGATCACAGTTAGACATAATCACTTTACTATATAAAATAAATTGCACAATATATATATATATTTATATATATGTATATATATATATAACAGAGCACCGCAAAGTACTTCATCTACCATCCACAAATTTGCTTGAAGAATATCCTACATCTAGGTTTAATAGTAGTTGTGATATAGGTCATTCTGTTAGGGGCTGTTCTTAATTTCATAAGTATTCCTTTACTGAGGCATGCTTTCCTCCAGTCGACAACCAATTCTTTGGAGAAAAAAAAGGGAAAAAAAAACACCCCCAAACCATGGTGGTTGTGTTTTGTCTTTTTAAATGAGTATTTTGTAGCCTATGTAGATTCTTAATTTGTGCACCATGGGCAAGTTTTATACTAGACATTAGATATCAAATTTATTGCATGCAGCAATCTGATTAAGTAAACATGCAGTCAAAAGTATCGACCCTCCTTGGAAGCTTCCTGTGTATACGGTTCTCTCCTCCCATCAGTGGTCGCTATTTCTAACTCACAGGACGTGTGGCGTGGTTTTGTTTCATTCAATCGATACCCTAGCTTGAATAGAGTATTATGGTATTAACAATACCATTTTAATAGCAGCAAAAGCTATTGCAGCATACGTTTATCTAACACTAAAAGACCTAACCAAAATCCTCAGCAGAACAAAAATCAAAAAAAGGTGGAAAGGGGAAAAAAAAATAAAAGCTACAGCTTATGAGGTAACATCCTTACAAGTCGAAATGCAGAGCAACTAAAGGCTTATTTTTCTTGAAGGGTTATTTTTACTCTAAATGACCCAAACTAAGGATTGCTGAACATCAGTGAAGTTGTTGCTACATCTGCCACCTACTTTATGAGGATTACCTTTGGTGAGTCATTTTCTAGGGGCAACTCTAAAGTTTCTGAAAATAAGTGCATGCTCTGGTTTTAAAAATGAGAACAATTAGAATTCTACAAAAGAAATTGTCATCACAAACATCGGCCTGACGGAGGCTGATTAGAATGGCAGTCTACCAATTGTCACTAGTGACAAGTCTTGGGTAAGAATTAAGGTACCAAGCAGACAATGGGGGAATCAGAGTGCGAGCCAGGACAGTTACACTCAGCAGGTTTGCATTATACCGGACACTGAGTTCAGTAATATGACTGTAAATGAGAATAATAAAAAAGACCCATTTCTTCTTTAAAGTCGAGAACAAATGCACAGATTTCCAGAACGCTCTAAGCCCAGAGGCAGCCGCTCTTTTCCCTCCAGTACTTGTGGCTGAGCTAGGCGCTGAACTCAGCTCCAACGGAAGGGGACGTGGCGGGGGCGGTCTCCCCCCTCCTTCACCAGTGGCTTGTGGAACTCCCGCCCAGCTCGGGAGTGTATGCTGGCCCAACAGTATTCACAGTAATACTGCAAACAGGTGACGTTGGCACAGAAGAAGGGAGCAAACTTGCCACCGCAGCGGGTGCCCTGGCATTCATCACACATCTGATCATCCAGCACGTACGGCTTCACTTCCACCTGACACACAGAAAGAAAGGGAGAGTCAGTTTGCACCAAGGGTCTCGCACTCGACACACCAGCAACGCGATGTTCTTTTGAGTGAACCTGGCCAGAACTGGAAAAGGAGACGTCTGCCCTTCAGAGGCGGCAGGCAATTCCATTTCATTCACACCGCGCCGGGTACACCCTGCATTCGAGGAGTGTACAAGTCGCCTAGACTGCTAACTCTCTGACAGCAGGGATGGTCTTTGTCTTTTTTTTTTTCCTTTGGCCAGGTCTTAGCACACAGTAAATGCTTCAATAAATGCTTATTAATAGCTCATATTTGTATAGCACTTACAATGTACCAGACACTATGCTGAGTGCTTTACAATGAATATCTAATTTGATCCTCGTTATTTCCCCCATTTTACAGATGAGGAAAATGAGGCAGACAGAGGTTAGGTGACTTGCCCAGGGTCACACAACTAAATGTCTGGGGCTGGATTTGAACTCAGGTCTCTTTGACTCAAAGCCCATCACTACCCCATCTAGTTGCTGTCTATGCCATTTCCGCGCCTAGGCAACTGATTAATTGAAACACTTCTCAAACACAGTAAAACAACCCACTGAACCACCAATGACTGACTGAGTGATTGAAATACTTCTTGAATATAGTAAAAATAACCCACTGTTGTTTTTGGAATAAAAAGTCTTGTACGTTTTTCACCAGCTATGTAAAGTTATACTTTTAGTAAATTACAATTTAGTAAACCAGTCTGTGTTCATCGCACTCACACCTTTCTTGGTTTCATAAAAGTCTTACAACATAACTGCTTGTAACTTCAGTCATTCAGTGTTGAAATTTTTTTCTTTTTCTTTTTTTTTTTTTGGTGAGGCAATTGGGGTTAAGTGACTTGCCCAGAGTCACACAGCTAGTGTTATATGTCTGAGGCCAAATTTGAACTCAGGTCCTCCTGACTCCAGGACCAGTGCTCTATCCACTGTGCCACCTAGCTGCCCCCATGTTGAAAATCTTTTGGTTCTAGCCCTAGTTTGGCTATGTACTGGCTGAGTGACCCTGGGCAAGTCCATTACCTTATGAGTCTCAATTTCCTCATCTGTAAAATGGGGATAATAGCATTACAAGGTTGGTATAAGCATCAAATGAGATAACATGTGTAACCCTTTTTGTAATCATAAAATGCTACATAAATGATGGAGCTATTTCTATTCTTCCTATATTGTCCTCAGGAAAAGGCACTTAAGCATGCAGTGACAGCATGGCCTTCATCAACCTTCTAGCAGCAATGGACTCTACTTGAATTTACCTTAAAAGCTATCCCTCCTTGGTACTTACTGAATCTCTGCTTCGGCTTTGGCCATTTTTAGGGGTGCTTGTTCTCAGTACCCCTGCTCTGGGTGGCTTTTCTAAAGTAACACAATGCCTGGCAAAGAGTGGGCACATTAGAAATGCTTATTGATCGCACAGATCTTCCACAGCCGATATCTGCTGGCTGATCCAGCCCTTAATGTAAAGATTCTCATTTTCAACCTGTAACATGTAGGCCGGGGTCCTGTGGCTGTGCCACAGGCCAATGGGCTTGTTTTGGGTTTATGTAGACACATTCTTTTTTTTTTTTCAGGGCAATTGGGGTTAAGTGACTTGTCCAGGGTCACACAGCTAGTAAGTGTCAAGTGTTTGGTCTGAGGCCGCATTTGAATTCAGGTCCTTCTGACTTCAGGGCCGATGTTTTCTGTCCACTGTGCCACCTAGCTGCCGCTGACACATTCTTCATAGTATAATTTTTCTAGCTTACTTGGATGGCTGATTCCAAACACATGCTCTTAAGTGAATTCACCCCTAACCTTCTTACTATGGTTCGGGCAAAGCACCATCTACTTGAATGTCAAGAGAAATTTTTCTCATCCTTGGCCAGGAATGTAATCACTTTCCCACCTCAGAGTGATGAATCACTAACTCCTATTTTTTCTTGGGGGTGAAGGAATAAATCCTGAGGACTATGCATTGACAACAATATTTTAAAAAAAAATTATATCAACATGTGGCATTATCACCATATTTTCACCCCTCCAATAACAAGGTCCATAGGGCTCATTTCATCATACCTACTCATGCACTGTTTAAGGCTTAAGTCAAATCTTATTCCCTTCGTTTCCGCAAAGCTTTCTCTGACTCCCACCCACTGATCAATGCCCCCTATGAACTCCAGGAGCATTTCTCATGTAGACCCTCCATTTGACATCTACAACAGAATACCCTGTCATTACTACCTTTTTATGTACAATTAAATTGTAAGCTCCATGAACATGCTAACACAGAGCTGGGCACATAGACTTTCAAATGTCTGTTTATGTTTATCCATTTAAATAACCCGAGGACGTATGAATCCTTCCGGAGAATCAGTGTAGCTTATTCCTTCCCTTTAGCTGTTTGGATCTAAAAGATCCAATAAGCAAATATAGCAGTGAGTTATCCCATTTCATGCATAATTACAATGATTCAATGTGATTTTTTTTTCCTGGATAGTTTAGTTTCCTGGCTTTGTGCCCATAGAACTTTGGAAGGCTCTGAGTGGTTCAGAAACCTTTATTCAGAATCACTGGGTCTCAGAGTTGGGGAGGGACCTCGGCTGTATCTTATCCAACCTCTACCTGACCAAGAATCTTCTCTACACCATCTCCAACAAGTCCTCACACAGCTTCCATTTTTCTCACTTCTCTACCATGCCCCAGGAAGTATTGAGAAAACCTCATCAACCTTAGGACTCTACCTCACCATTGCCCTTGGCCTCTCTGATTGGAGTCTAGAGCATGAATTCCAAAGCCTCCATTTAAGCAGACAGTTCAGCTCAGACACGAACTTATTTCTCACCAGACTGCATTGCTTTGAGGCTTCTCTGATTGACTTTTCCACCATGCCCCAAGAAGTTCATTACTGGGAAAACCTCATCATCCTGCCAGATTCTATCAGCCTTGATGCTCCATCTAATCACTACCCTGTGTCCCTCTGATTGGAGGATGGAGCTGTGAACTCCAAAATCTTCATTTAACGAGAGAGCTCAACTCAGAGCATCTCATTTCTTATTTGGCTTCACTACTTCAGGATTTCTCTGACTTTTCCCCCATGTCCTCTATGGGGTACCTTCCCGTCCCCACCCTGCCCAATCCCATTTTTCAGGTTCTCTTATGTTGTTATTTTTTTCCCAGCAGAAGTACTATTGAAAACTTGGGAAAAACAAGACAAAAACATTGGTCCAGACACCAGGACTCCACAAGTGGATGGAAGAAATGAAGCAATTTGGGGCAGCTAGGTGGTGCAGTGGATACAGCACCGGCCCTGAAGTCAGGAGGACCTGAGTTTGAATCCAGTCTCAGGCCAAACACTTGATAGCTACTAGCTGTGTGACCTTGGGCAAGTCACTTAACCCCAATTGCCTGAAAATTTAAAAAAAGAAATGAAGCAATAGATTAAAAAATGAAATGTAGTTTTTCAGGAAAACATGGAAAAGAGAATAAATTGCTTGGATCAGAAGGTAGAAAACATGATTCAGGGCACAGACTCCCTGAAAAACAGAATGGAGCAAACAGAACTCAATGATTCAATGAGACAACAGCAACAAAAAAATTTTAAAAAGTATAGTGACTGGAAGATTAGAACAAATAACAAATAAAATCTTATTTGATCCTCATGACAACCCTCAGAGCTAGGTCCTATTATTATCTCCATTGTACTGATGAGAAAATGAGGCAGAAAGAGATAAAGTGGAGGGAAGGGAAGGGAATAAGCTTTTTATAATGCCTACAATGTGCCAGGCACTGTGCTAAGAACTTTTTACAAACATTACATCATTTGATCCTCACAATAAGCCTGGGAGGTAAGGTGGTATTATTCCCATTCTTGCAGTATTTGTATCCCCAGCACTGGGCATAGTGCCTAAAACACAGGAGGTGCTTCATAAATGTTTATTGACTGATTGACTTCTATTGAAGTCCCCTCCAGTGAGAAGGAACCCCGTTATCTCCTGATGCCCATTCATTCCTCTTTTGGAAAGTTCTAAAAAATAAGTACACAGCCCTCTTCTCTGTGGCTGATGCCCTTGTTGAAAGCAGGGGAAATCTTCTCAACCTCAAATGTACCACCGTCACGAAGCTTTCTTTCCTTCCTTAGAAATCACATAGTACTTGGTACCTTCCAAACTAGTCTAACCCATGGTACTCATATATTTACTGTACTGTATTACATATTGGTATATTTGGGCCTGCTGCTCTTGCTACACTGTAGTCGCCATGAAGGTAGGGACCAGGTTTTCACTGATCTTTGCACCTCCCTAGGACCTACCTGGCTGAGGGCACTGTTAGCTCCATCACTGCGGTTCCGCCTCCACAACTCCGGGAGTTCCCTGGCCATGACTTTCTCCTACAAGAGGATATGGCTTCCCTAAGAACATCTTGCTTCACATTCCCTTAGATTCCAGCCCCGGGAGCAGACACAGGGCTGCAAACCTCTTGCCTCAGTGCTAGGCCTTTACTTCACATCTCCCCACAAAGTCTAGCCTGCTAAATGAAGGTCTGAAAAACACCAAAATCAGGGGGAAAATTTTTTTTTCTATTTCTCTCACAATTTAGAAACAACATGCTTCCATGTGAGCTCTCACTCTTTGAAAGCATCTGAGGGATGTCTAAGCAATGTCACTTGTCTTTCCTGTGGAGATGTATTGCAGAGTTTGGCATACATTATAGGATACTGCTTATTTATTCAATTATTTTTAGTGTTGTTACAGTATTTTGACTATTTTACTTCACTTTCCAATAATCAGTCTCGTCTCTTCTATTTTATTTGCTTATCTTTTGTACCCATGGTTCATAGATGGTCTGACCCTATGGTTTCTCAGGTTTTAGCCACCTGTTCACCCTCTCCTCCCATCAAAATTAAATCACCACTGGGCAACACTATTTTTAAAATGACTAAGAAGGAACTATGGGAAGTCAGGGATGAGGTTAGATCATAAAACTGG